AAGAATGATCAATTGATAGGAAAACGGGATGGGGAATTTTCCTGCAGACTTTTTGGGGATTTTCCCAGGGTCTCTGATCCACGGGATTTAAAATTATGAGTTTGGTGGTCTCTGAGGTCCAAAAGGTTGGCAACCCCTGATTTAGACAACCTGGTACTCCAATATAGCTTGGCATATTATCTGGAGCTAGTGGGAAGCTGAAATATCTGACTGAAGCAGCCTGAGTCTGACATATCTGGAGCTGGATACCTCTATTGTCTTGTGATAAACAATATGATTGGTTATCCTTGTTTTAAAACATTCAGAACACCAGACCTTGTCTCAGGGTATGAATTGTGATAAATGAAACAATTATAATGCTGAAACAGATTTCCTCAAATCTGCTCATTTGCTCTCCCCTCTTTCCTTACTGAACAACTAATCTATTTATGCTATTTCAGACACTCAAAGTAGTTAGTAAGAAAACTGCAAGAAAACAAGTGTAGAAAAAATATTGCAAGGTCAGCATTGCAAAAACATGGGTAGTTATGCAACATTGCAGTGGCTTGATATTATTCCAAATGTTATTTTTAATTAATTGGAAATCTTCTGAAATTTATCGATTTCAGGAGATTTCTAATTCCACTTAGAAATTAATTTCTAATTCCATTTTGTAATTCTCAAGTACTGTGTCCTACTGTATTTTTTCATTGTTTAATTTTATATTTTTGTTCTCCCAAAACCACTCAGTTGCATATTTAATTTCTCTCCTAAAATTTAACTAAGATGGCAGCATTTGGGAAATGGTTTGTTAATTTCCAGTTGGCACTCAGATGTTGTCTGGCTTGTCCCTGAGTCAAATGGAACAAGTTGAGTGAAGGAGCTGAAACAGGAGTGGAAATGAGAATGTCTGTCACTATGTATGATAGCAGTAATAGGGGTGAAGAAATCAGGTTCTAGTCCCCTCAGCTACAGGTCACTAGATGACTTTGTGCCAGTTCTCTTTTAGTTCAGCCCACCCTACAAGATTGCTGTTGTGATATCAAATAGGAGGAGGGGGCATATCAACTTGATTTCCTATAGGAAAGGCAGTAAATGAATGCATGATGAATATTATTCTAATCAGCAATGTTGCAAGAATTGATTTTTGTTTCTGCTAAAAGATAATATTTTATTTTACAGCGTGGAGGTCCAGAATAAGGTGGAGCATTGTGCAGTTTGTAACTGCTGAATAACACATCATTGTACTTACAATAAAGTCCTTCTTCACTTTCTCTCTCTCTGGATATTAAAGGAGGTCAAAGGAAAGTTTTTTCCAAAGTGCTTTTGTGAGAGACTAAAAGGTAATCGCTTTAGAAAGTGGTTATGTCTCATTCAAAGATAATTCTGTTTCAGGTAACCAGAAGCATCCACTTTAATTGCCTGATGAAATTTATTTTTTCATTCTATTCAGTATAGTTTCTTTGTCTCTTATAGTTGCTATTGATACACTAATAATTAAAAATAGCTACTATTAAAATGACAATAATAGCCTGAATAGAACCATGTTGTTTTCAGAGTTTGAACAATGCAGGATTAATTCCTTCTGGCAAGTAGCATGTCCTTCCATAGAACTCTGAGAATTAAACTTAAGTTAGCCATATCAAAATTTGACAAACTTTGTTAGTGGACTCATTGTACAATGTAATCCACAGATAAGCACAATACTTTTTAGAAAAAGAAATAATCCAGCTCTTTCCTTTCTTAGTGCTATACTACCTCAACATATACAATTGTTAAATTTGGTTCAGAATAGACAGGAAATTATTTTGATATGTCTATCTTTAATCCTAATGACTACATTGTAATAAAAATTAAATATTTGTAATATTTACTTGTCACAGAGCTGATACCAATAGGCTCAGATGAGTTCTAGAAATTTCCATGAATTGCAGTGTATAAGCATCTCTTGTGTACATTTAAATGCCTGTTTCTTACAGGGAGCTCATCACTTGCACATCAAAACATCTTCATGATTGGGTTGTTTTAGTCACTGAATCGGGGAGCTGGAAAAACTTGAGCTGATTGATGTGGGTAGCACTGATTTGTACACTACTAATATATAAATCAAAAATGATATGAAGTATAGTATTATGAAGTATAGAATTATAGTATTTAATAATTAGTACATGTTTATTATACACATCCGTGAATTATATGAAGCACATACAAAAATTATTTCTATGGAGCAGCAAATGAACTGCAAATGAATATATTAATAGATTTTGTGATCAATACTTGATTTCATTTTTAACATGTACTTGCTATCACATATATGTTTTTATGACAGAAAAGAGGAACTATACAATCAATCAGTAGAGAAATTTTATTTGAAACAATAATTTATGATTACACAAACTTGAGAAGAATTTTCATCTGTTTAAGTAGGAAAAGGATTCAAGTTTATAATGCAAATGTGTATGCAAGGTTTTACTAAAGTAGGTAAAAGTCCATTAAGCCATTCACCTTTTATTATTGTAAAAATACTTTTGTGTATGATACCAAATGTACTGTTTGCATTTCTATTTTTGTTTGATATATTCTTCATATGTATTTTAAGATTTGTTCTATATTAACATTTGCACAAAACCCAAATGAATTATAATAACCAATTATAGACGGGTGTACAACAAATAATACAAATAATATTGTAGCAGAAACTCTTGCTTCCAAATCAGGACACAAGACCACGAAAGGTTGGAGAATACAGGTTTATTTGTGCACAAGATTCAGAGCATTAGCATGGCAAATTCTGAACCCCCAACTCTTCATGATCTGTCACTTTTATACATAGCATGACCTCAGACTAGGCTGGGGCGTTCCTTTTATTACATTTTTACCAAAAAAAGGAGAATAACATATATATTTGTATTAAGGAAATATAGAGGAAGTGAGAAGTACATTTTTGATTACTCAGTTATCTTACACCATCTGTTATTTTCTATGTCCACCCTTGTTTACAGTAACGTGGTTATTTCCAGTTCCTTACTTCAGCAATTTAGTGGTTTTGCACAATATTTTTATAAGAAGCAAAGCTTGGGGTTGGGATTTCTGGTAAATGTATACTTTATTTGTGACTTTCCAGACTGCTTCATTCCCCCCTTTGAAACTTCACCTAAGTCTCCTGATTACAGTGGAGTTTCACTAACGGGGAAAGGTTCTTCTGTTGTAATCAATTTCTCATATTCCCATAAAGCCATAGCTTTAGCAGTGGCTTTCTTCTCCATTAACATAGAAAGACTATTAGAGATTGTTTTGACAAAGATAGGTAAGATACATGGTAGAATTACACATCCTGCAGCAATCATACCAACTAGTGCAACAATGGCTTGAAGGCCAGGTAATTTAGGAAACCAAGTCCCAAAAATGTCTCCAAGGTCAAACCCGTTCCATTTCTGGACCAGTATGTGTGCAAGATTCTCTATGCGTCTAGCGCGTTGCTCGATTTCACCAACATCATCAAATTCCAGGCAACAATTGGTGAAATTAAACTTGCCACATACACCTCCCTCAGCTGCCAAGAGGTAGTCTAAAGCTAGACGGTTTTGATAGATTGCATCTCTAAATTTCTTCTGTTGGGCTACTAGGGTGCGCAGGGATTGAGCTGTTTCATTGGCAATTAGTTCTACAACAGCCTGGAGTCTGATAATACGATTTAGCATATAAATTGGGGTACGATAACCCCAAGTGCCATCTGCCGCCCAAGTAGCCCGGTTATAGTAATGAATGATGCGTTCTGGGGGCCACTCATCATCCTTCCAATCTCCTACTTTATAATCTGCTTTTAGTTTCCTGCTCTGCCACTGATTGGCATTCATAACGAGGTATATTTAAGGGTAACATAAAGAGGGGTTGATAACTCCCAAGGTACAAGTTCCTCTCCACTTTGAAGGAAGGGTACTATAAGCCACATCACCACATATCCAATGTACCCCAGGAGGGGCCTTTTTGTTCGGGTGGGGATACACTTAGGCCATCCTGTATAGGTGCACATGATGACAAGTAGTGCATTATATGGACCACAGCAGGGCATGTCAGTGAAGTCAATCATCAAAGAATCAAATGGGTAACTGCCTCTGGGTTGATGGCCTGGTGGTGGCTGGGGCCCCTGTCTAGGGTTATTAACTGCACAAACCTCACACCTTGCACAAATATTAGCTGCAATGCTGTGTATCTTGTTGATACAAACTTCCCTTTGTAGGGCCTTTGCTAAAGCCGTTTTACCTAGGTGCAACTGTCTGTGGACTTGCTGCACTATATCCCAAGCCATATGTCCTGGTACAAATGCTGCTAGATTTCCTCCTACTCTGACATCTGGCTTTAGTATCTCATTTACTGCATTCTTGATTTTCTCCCTCTCTTCCGGATTGAATAGGGTCCCCATTAGCTGCTAGAGATCTAACCACGTGGGATTGTGTGTGTCGACTATCGTCTTCACTAAGTCTGCTACTTCAGTAGGTTTTTCGCTAAAGGGACCATAGTGTAATTTCCAGTTGAGTAAGTCTGATGTGGTGAAGGGCACATGCTGGAACAACGGTAGGGTGACTGAGGCACTAGGATCTTGATGGTCAGTTACCAATTGGTCCACTCTCCTAAGTGGTGCTATCAGGGAGGCTTGTTCAGTCTTTGCTTTCGTTCTGGCTGCCACAGGTTCGGCCTCTCGTTTAGGGGTTACATGGGAGATTACCTGAACTAGGGTATCTGAAGGTGAGTCGGCTTGGGCTGAGCGATCAAATGTATCTGGCGGGTCCCCAGGGCTTCTCAGGAGGGGGTCCAGTTGGGCTATCAATCCTGATACCCCCGAAGATTTACTTCCCTCGGATCTACTCCTTAGGCCAAAGGGAGGTACATATGGAGGTGGGTGCGGTAGCGCCTCGGGGCAACTGAGCAAGACCTGTATAGTTTTCTTTTCCTTCTTTAGTGACAGATTACGGGACAATAGAACCTTGCAACGTTGCATTTTGAGCTTCTTGAGCCATGGGGGGGCGTGGTTTAGCAGGTCGAGCCAGACATCAATGTAAGGAGCCTGGTCTGGGTGTCCCAGTGTTGGGTGAAATACTAACTGATGAACCTTTACTGCTATAGGGATGTCTAGTGTATCCATGGGAGGCCATCCAAACCCAAATGTTGGCCATTCTCCCTCACAAAACACCTGTAGTTTGTGTCTACTCCACTCCAAACCATAGTCTTAAGATTCATATGCTTCCTTAAAATGCTTTAGCATAGCTCCTAATGGGGTCAGGGGCTTACTCTCCCCACCGCCCATGATCCACCCAGGTCACCAGACAAGACAATTAGGGAAAGGGGCTGGAAGAAGGTGTGGGGTCCTCCTTCTCAGGGTAACACCAAGGATTTCCACACACTCACGTCCGACCCAGGGAGCCAGGTGCGCACGGTCTCCAGTGGGAACTGCGGATGCCACTCGCTTTCTACTGGCCCACGGTGCTGGACACTCATAGTCACCAATGGGAACCGCAGTAGTCACTCACTTCAACCACTCCTGACAATTCCACGCACCTTGCCTTAAGAGAGGGTGATCAGTCCTCTCCTCCGTCCCTGCTTACAGGGAGGGATTATTTCCCAAGTCCAATACTTGTCTGCAGGCGTCGTCTTCCTCCCACCAGCCGGCTGGAAGATGTCCTGGTCTCCCCACCTTTCACCAGTGGTTCTTGGGGGTGTCAACCGCCGACGCCAGAACAGGGCAGTCTCGGGAAGTCCCTCGGATTCAAAGGACTGATGGCGCCTGGGATGTTCCCTTCAACTCACCGAGCTGCTGGCACCCGGGGTGGACCCTCCAGCGGGCCTCAGGGCCCCTTGCGTCCTGCCGCAGTCGACATTAAATGTAGCAGAAACGCTTCCAAATCAGGACACAAGACCACAAAAGGTTGGAGAATACAGGTTTATTTGTGTACAAGGTTCAGAGCATTAGCATGGCAAATTCTGAACCCCCAACTCTTCCTGATCTGTCACTTTTATACATAGCATGACCTCAGACTAGGCCGGGGTGTTCCTTTTATTACATTTTTACCAAAAAAAAAAAAAGAGAATAACATATATATTTGTATTAAGGAAATATAGAGGAAGTGAGAAGTACATTTTTGATTACTCAGTTATCTTACACCATCTGTTATTTTCTATGTCCACCTTTGTTTACAGTAACGTGGTTATTTCCAGTTCCTTACTTCAGCAATTTCGTGGTTTTGCACAATATTTTTATAAGAAGCAAAGCTTGGGGTCAGGGGATTTCTGGTAAATGTATACTTTATCTGTGACTTTCCAGACTGCTTCAATATAGGAAACCCCTCTGGAGAGTTAGCTAATAAAAACCACAATATGGATCTGCAGTCTTGAATGCACCTCCTTAATAGAATGTACATTTCAGTGCTGTCTGCCTTTCCTGAAACGTGTGCTTTGGTTAGGTTTTCCATTACTTACACTTCTATGAAAAAAATATTTTCCCTTTTAGATTTTCTGAATTTTTGCAAACACTAAACAGTCCTGTGGGTCCTAGTGAAATATAAAAGGAATCTAAGTAAATAACTAATATTTGGTATTTATTTCATTTCATAAAGTCACCCAACATAATGATAATGAAAGAATAAATGGCACTAATTTCTTTTTAATGTATAAGATTGTTAAAGGGCGAACAAAAGGCAGTTATTCTAGAACTTATTTAACAATCAGACCCTGCAGCATGCCAATCTGACAAATATTGCTTTCATTAGACATATTCTCATCACTTAGGTTTTAAAAATATGCAATGCTTCGCTCAAATTTCTGAAGATCTCTGTAAAAATGTCATTCTTATAAAAATGCCTGTCAAAAAGAAGCAAAACATTTCTAAAGCTCTTAAGCACTGATATATAATCATACTTCGTAGAAGATTCTCCAGACTTCTGAAGGAATGTTCAATGAATGACATAAATCAAAAGTAGAATTTTTAGGCTACATGGACATTATATCTGAAAGGAATTAAACTGCATTTCACAATAAAAACATTCTATCTCTTATGAACAATGTCAGAGTTTGGGAGTGACCTAGACTTGCCATCATATGTGTATCTGTATCAAAATTTTGCAGGAGACTACTAAGCCATTTGGCCATCAGCTAAAGCAAGTCATGCAGCCAGATAGTAATCGCAAACATAAAAGCAAACTTACAAAAAATGAATGCAAAACAACTTCATTGTATTTGAAATGGCAAAAATTGTATGAATAATGAATATTGCCAGGGAATGTGGATATTCCTTACTGGAAGTGCAAGATATGCCTAGTGAAAAACACCTAATTGCATGTGCTACAAATGCTCAACTTACAACCACAATTGGAACCAGAAAAATTGTAATTAAGCTGCACAGTCATTAAATCAGGCATTATATAACACACCTGATTTTATGTGAAACACAACTGTCATTAAGTAAATACAGCTTTCCCCATTGAGTGCTTCTTGGACACTGGCTGGAAGGATTGCACACAGACCACATGACCAATGGATGCTGCAAGTGTTGTACATGCATGCCACTTTGCCAATGATTCAAATCATGAACACGTAAGTATTGGAGTTGGTGTAACAGTCATAACTTCAAGGTTAGGTTGTAATTTATTTTTTTCAGTGCTGTTATCGTTTTGAATTACTGTTGAATGATGATAAGTTGAGGGCTACCTGTATTATATTGCTAGGGTTCAATAATCAGCCTCACAACTGGAAAATAGCTAAGAGGATTATCTGATCATTATGCTATTTCATCTGGGAAAGATCACCATTAGATCCATTTTACAGTAGTGTTTTATTCAAGGCTTGGCAAGTCAAACATTGCAGCAAATTGAGGGTGAAATTTAAAGAAGAGAAAGTAAATCAACTTTCAAATACATTTCACCAAAACAATTTACTGTTTACAAACTCATAGATGAATATTTCAGACTCTAACTGAAGAATGATTTGAATCTGGCAAGATTTTAATACACTGCAGCTTTTGTGTGTAAATTTTAGCTAGAACTCCAGATCAATCCCAGCCCTTCCTCTCTGAATAAAAAAATACTGATAAAACCATCAAAAGTAGGTGCAGAATTTAGGATCTCACCAACAGATACTATCTGAGTAGCAGACATGACAAGGATCAGATAAATTGGTCGTAGTTGTCTTCTCTGACGTGATTTGTTTAAATTATGATTTCTAGAGCGATGCAAATAGGTTCCAATTAGCAAATGCATATTTAATCCTCTGGGGTATTTCCTCAATTCCACATAGCTGGCCACTTAACCTAACTATTACATATTTCAGGTCACCTTACTGGCATCAGCAAAGCACTTAAGATTTATAAAGTGCTGCTTCTCTGTCCAGCCTACCTCAAAATATTCAATGTACCATGACCATGATTAAAACTTATTACTGACTAGGTGCAAGGCATCTAAGGACAAAACGTGGCAAATGTTATTTAAAAACTAAAAATTGTATCGTGTTTTCACTCATAGGAAGTACGCACTCCTTCCAATGCCAAGTTTTGGAAAGGAGTGCTTTGCTGTTCAGTCAAGCTAAGCGCGTTATCCAATTTCCGCGTCCCCTATTTCCCTTGACAGCGGAGTCCCAGCAATGGTTGTTGCGCTCTTCGCGTTGGATGCCGTTGCCAGGCCGGCAGAAGCGTCTTTAGTCAACGTGCGGCGCATGCGCAATCAATAGAGCGCTGTGCCGGAAGCCGGAAGCGGCGGAAGGGAATTGCAGTTTTTTGAGTTTTCGGAGTTTTAAAGATCCTTTTCTGCTACGGAGGGTTTTAAATCGCTTTTCCAGCTTTCCCTGGTCCCACGTCGCCATGGATGCGCGAGCGCGAGCCAAACGCTACGAAAAACTGGACTTTCTGGGTGAGGGCCAGGTAAGGAATAGCGGCCTCGTCTGCCTTTTAATGTGCTTCGATCTGTAATTCTGGTCTGTGCCTTAATAAATAAAAATTATTTTTATATAGAGGGAAACAGCCCGAAGCTATTCTTTGTTTTCTTGAGGTTATTCTAATCTACCTCTTGCCATTTTCTAGAAGGGAATTTAGGCAGATCTTTCTTTTCTCTGTTCCCAACAGCCTTGCGAGGTAGAGTAGCTAAGTGAAAGCCTTGCTGTCTGAATTGGGGAGTCGTTAACATTTGACGGAAAACGTTAACTCAGTAAACGATGTGCGTCATGCCAACATAGCTGCTGGCTCACTTCGCTTTTCTGATTATTTTTAATATAAAGGAGGCAAACGAATACACGGGGAAAAAATGGTTTTTGCCGTTGTCATCTAGTCCTCCCCAGGATGTTTGTGCAATTTTTTCATGCCACAGATCCTGCAGAAGAGGCATCTTCTCTCCCCTCATCAGATACTTCTTTTTTTCTCAGCATTTTCTTTTATTCTAGGCCACTTTTTTTTCCAAGGAAAGCATGCTGTGGCACTTCTGGCTTCTTGACAGTTTATGCAATCCCACACATCCCTAATTTAGAATCAGTTTGCATTAATCTCTGATCTTTAATTGTGAGAAAATATGTTTTGGGTAGATACTGGTGTAACATAGTAAGTTGTAACTGTCTGTTTTGGGCATTACCACCTGAAAATTGAGTTATTTGAGTAAACCTCAGTCAATAAGCATGTAATACAAATACAGCCTCTAAATTTGCTTTCTTCAGATTGGTGTTTTCAGACAGCATTGTGAAGATATAGGTTAGCAATTAGAAACAGCAAAATAATCTGTTAAAATAGTGGCAGAGAACCAGACAATCTAAAAACCAGTGATTCTGTGGTTGGCATCTCAGCCTATGCTCAAATATTTTACTTCTTCCAAACAAATGGTCACAAAACATTATCCTTACGCAGTATGTTTATCTTGGTTTAGACTGATTGCTAATCATCTGATTAAGAAAGTTGTATAAAATTGAGTTTAATCATGGTTATAGAAACAACAATTACAAAATAATGCCAAAAAGAAAATAGCTCTGCAAAGAGATAGTGCTAAAAAGACGGTAACTCTCTTTAGAGAAGCTGATGATATTAAATTTGACAAAATATTGTTGATGTCCCTAATCTTTCACCCAAAAATAAATTAAATTCTATAGCATAGCCTTTTGAAAGTTTGCTAATTGGACAAATAACCATGCATTGCTTTTATATAAGAAACCCTTCTTACTAGAGATTTACAGTCTTTTGGATGAATGCTTTGTTATGTTAAACTCTCACATGTATGTACGAGGGCTATCCACAAAATAGATTACGTTTTCGTCTGTAGCAAGAAGGGGCGGAGCTAGCGTGGCCATCTTTGGTCTGTGAGTCCGCCGCTCAGTCTGCATCTAGTCGTGCTAGGTTCGTATCGTTGCCCGTTATTTCACAGCAAACATTTGAAATGTGTGCTGCAATTGAAAATCGTGCGAGTTGTGAGGTGCAATCAGTGATAAGGTTTTTGCTGGCAAAAAACCATAAACCGATTGAAATTTTAATTGAAAAATTGAAAAACTAAGAAAAGCAATTCAGAACAAGCGTAGAGGAAAGTTAAGGTCAAAAATTTTGTTTTTGCATGACAATGCCTGACCACACAAAGCAAATCGCACTCGAGAAGTCCTGAATGCTTTCAAGTGGGAGATTTTTCCTCATCCGCCCTACAGCCCCGATCTTGCACCAAGCAACTACCACTGGTTTCCGAGGATGAAGACCTGGCTTGGAACAAAAATTTTGAGCTTAACTTTCCTCTATGCTTGTTCTGAATTGCTTTTCTTAGTTTTTCAATTTTTCAATTAAAATTTCAATCGGTTTATGGTTTTTTGCCAACAAAAACCTTATCACTGATCGCACCTCACAACTCGCATGATTTTCAATTGCAGAACACATTTCAAACGTTTGCTGTGAAATAACGGGCAACGATACGAACCTCCCACTAGCACGACTAGATGCAGACTGAGCGGCGGACGCACAGACCAAAGATGCCCGTGCTAGCTCTACCCCTTCTTGCTACAGACGAAAACGTAATCTATTTTGTGGATAGCCCTCGTACTTCACAGTGATTTATAATGTTTAAAATAGCTTTGCCTTGAAATTTATGCTGTAATTATAGGTAGTCCTTGACTTACAATCTTGTGTTTAGCAACTGTTTTAAATTACCACAGCACTGAAAAAAGTGACTTGCAACTGATCCTTGCATCTACGACTGTCACAGCATCTTTACGGCCATGTAATCAAAATTTGAGCGCTTGGCAACCTGCATGTATTTACAACAGTTACAGCATCCTGGAGTTACATGATCACCATTTGCAAACTTCCTAGGAGGCCTCCTATAATCACAATCAATGGGGAATCTAGCTTCACTTAATGACCATGTAATTCACTTAACTGCAGTGAATTGTTTAACAACTATGGCAAAAATATATATAATTGAGCATGAATCACTTAATGTCCTTGCTTAGTAATAGTAATAGAATTTCTCTGATCCCAATTGTAGTCATAAGTCAAAGATTTATGTACAGTTGCTTCTCTGCCGCTGCCAGTAAAAGTGTTGACAGTTCATAAACCACATAAACTGACATGCCAAGCTTTCTGGAGAAGATCTTGTTTTCATGTTCTAGAATGGATGTGCTGCTTGTACCACTGCATTTTATTGAATATTTTGCATAATCTTACTACATATTTCTTAGCCATGGAGTGAAAAAACAGTTGTTCTTCAGGAGCCGTGGTGATGCAGCGGTTAGAATGCAGTATTACAGGCTAATTCTGCCCACTGTCAGGAGTTCAGTCCTGACCAGCTGAAGATTGACTCAGGCTTCCATCCTGCTGAGGTCAGGAAAATGAGGACCCAAATTGTTGGGGGCAATATGCTGCTATTGTAAACCTCTCAGAGAGTGGTATAAAGCAGGGGTCCCCAATTCTCAGGCCATGGCCCACTACTGGGTCATGGCCTATTTGCAACCGGGCTGTGTGAGCAGTGGGCCAGCACTCGTGCACACACATGCACAGATTAACTTTTCACAAGTTAAACTTTGTGTGTGCAAGCATGTGCACCAGCCTATCACTCGCACACGGTTCAGCTCCCCTCTCCCCCCCTGGGCCGCCAAGCCGCAAAGGTTGGGGACCACTACTGTACTCGAGTGTAAGTCTTAAGTGCTATTGCAATTGCTATTTTTCTTCAGATATTACTGAACTACAGTTTATACTTACAGTACAGACTACCTGTACTGCTGTTGCCCATGCTGAGGAAGGCTATTTGGCTATTTGAAATTGTATTTTCAGGACCTGAAAGAACAGTTTCCCTTCTTTATGTTCCAAGTAAATAAAACTGGATAATGATGTTGCTTTATCTTGGAAAATTGAATTGTTTAACGTTCAGGGTATTTTCTCTCTCTTTAGTTTGCTACTGTTTATAAAGCAAGAGACAAGAACACAAATCAAATTGTTGCTATTAAAAAAGTAAGTCTTGTTCTGGCTCTATTTTATATCTCCTCAGATCATCCTTTGTTCTAACCATAATTTAAAATACAGCAATGATTTTGGATCTGAACTATCCTTTAACTATATTCTGTTGTTTTTCAACACATATCCTGATTTTCAAATGTACTTCATATACTGTAGGTTTATCAATTTAATAATATCAACAATATCAATTTAAGCCTCATAGTTATCAGTTGATAATGAGTCATGTCAATATGTATAAATCGGTGCAACTGATGACCATGATGCCTCAGTGGATGAAGGGAGGACTGATGAATCTACACATTATGGCTTAGAGCTGCATGAAAATATGGAGTTCGAGAAAGCATATCTAAAAATGTTGGCTTACTTGTACATGAAATTTTCTTAACCAAAGCTTGGTATATTAAACCAATTCTTTCACTTCTTAGTGATTGTAATATAAAAGCAAATGTGTATAAAGTAGAATGAAACTTTAGATCCTTTATGTAGCATTCCTTGAGAGCTTACCCCCAAAAAGGGAGAAATCATTGATAATAGCAGGCAGGCTTCCCTGAAATTACTTTTCTACTACTACTGGTTTTCTACTGTACTTTTCAGATTAAAAAAGCATTTAGCGGGTTCTACACTACAGGGAGGCAATATTTAGATACAGCAAGTCTGACCAATATCCTGTATGTACATAAAAGGATATATTTGGAAAACACTAATATTTTTTGCAGAAGATAATGGAGCCCTGGGCAAACAACATAAATTGGAAAAACCATTTCATTAAAGTAAAAAGAAAATCATTGCAAAATAGCCTGTTTCTTGTATATCAAAACATAAGAATTCATCTTATTTACCTGAAAAGAAAACCAAGAGTATTTTTCAAATAATTGTATTTTATCTTAAATTTTCTATAAATACAATAATGAAAGTTTGTTTTCCTAAAATGCTTAAAACCATCAGCAGTTCTCAATATATGCCATGGCTGTTGGTATCGTACTTTTGCATCTGCATTTGCAGCAAGAAAATCAGCCATAAGTCTAGGCTACATTAAATTTAGGACATTGATCTGTTATTTTTTTTAACCCATTCTCACATGGAATGAAATTAATAAAACAATCATGTTATTTGAGACTGTGGTATAATCTGTAGTGCTCATTCCTGTTTCCCAGTTAATATACTCTGCTGGACAATCACTCAACTTTGCCCCTTTTATGATATCAAAATACAGAAAATAAGTTTATTGATCTAGACAGTAGCCAATATAGATAGATATATTGTCTTTGAATTGATGTTGCAGCAATGAGGTCTCCTTACTGCTACATTGATGATGGCTAGTATATAATGTCTGATCACTGAATCCCATTCTTATCACTGAATCCCATTCTAAAATCTCCAATTAATACATATGCAGTAGGGAAATTTAAGTCTTCAAAGTAGTTTTTCAGTTTTTCATAATTATTTTTAAATGAAGATTTGAGCCATATGGGCAGTAGATAAACATTATTAACTAAAACCCATTGAATTTAAATTTGGCATATGAAACACAACTTTCACTATACATCATGTAAATGATGTATAGACTTCCTTGGTTGTTGATGGTATTTGTGAAGTGGAACAAAGTTAAACTCCATATACAGGTCCACTTTTTTACAACATGCCTTACTAAACAGGATTCCTGGTTTACTGTGACATCTAATTGGGTTTGGCCACAACTATGTAATTCTACAAAACATTTGTAAGTACTAAACTCTTTGAAATATTTGAAATAATAAAATATATAGTTAGAATGTATAGTTTTTATGCATATGTATAAATAAACGTGTATATTTATTTATATGCATAGCTATTTGTCTGTTAAAGCTGATACTGAACTGTTGCAGTTTCTGACCTGCATATGTTAAAAAGGAATATTCTGTGTTCCAGATAAAACTTGGACACAGATCAGAAGCAAAAGATGGTAAGTATCTCAAATACCTAATACCTTCATTAGGTGGCTTCTGAAAGATGAAATAAGGGGCAGTGATTAGGAGAGAATCCCAGTTCAGATTTATTTATATACTCGAATTATCCCTGTCACAATTGGAAAGACACCCTGCAGTTCACAATATATATCAAAACAATATCATTCAACATCTCCAATAAAGCAGAAAAAAATAAACCAATCCTGACATAAATTTAAAATTGTTGGTATCAACTCGTATTACAAAATTTTAAGAGAGCCTCTCTTTTTAATTGCTTCTGGATAGGGCTGATCTAATTTCTAAGAGGAGGCAATTTCAAAATGCAACAATACAGACAGGAAAAAAAGCATTTGCAGCCATCTAACCACCGCACTACATGAAAGTGGAGAATCACCATCAGTTTTTCCTGGAATATATGTATTGAGAAAAAATCCCAGATGCCTACCAGAAACCTTTTGAATTCATAAGGTATCTAGAGCTGACTATCCAAAAAGTCTGTTTGCTCTGCAGGGTTTTTAGTAGGTGCCATAATCATCTGGACCAGGAAGGAATCTGATCACAACAAACGACAGATTTAATTCCCTTCCATATCCAGATCATAATATCTACTTGGACAAAACAAGCCCAACTGCTTATATGTTGTGACAAATTACATGGGACAAGCCCACAGTTGCCACAGAGGCTATGAGGTCCCAAATTCTTTCCTAACACCCCTAAGACTTCAATGGAAATTGAAGTCACACAACACCAAAAACTGAGTAGATTTTAACACCAGCCTTGAGACTACATCAAACAGATGAGATACACAAAACGTAGGAGTAAGAAATCTCTGATTGCTTGACTTTTGTTGCCTTTGTCCATCCAGGTGTCGGTAATACATACTGCATTCACATACTCATCTACAATGAATTTGTAAAGAATAAGATCTTACTAAACATGGACTTCAGATCACATGATCAACAAAATTATTTGATCACCCGACTCACAAGCAGGTGGAATGACCAACATGGCCTTTGAAATTAATGTTAAAGATTTACTGCATGTTGAGGGTAGCTGATATCTGAAGCAGACTACTTCAGGCTGTTTGCATGCTGTTGGATTTGCAATTATTAGAGAGCCTGTGCAGTCATATTGTGGATGCAGATAATATATGCACATGTAATTACTGTACTCTAATGATGCTTGGGAAATTTAAAATTCTAAAGTATATCAGTATAGATATGGGCACCTAATTTTCTACCCCATAGAAAATAAGCTCTTACATTTCTAGTTTGTCCCCATCACAACCTACTGTAAAAACAATGAATTTTCGAGGAAATGTGGCATCATACGGGAATATGCATAGGGACCTAGCCTTTTCTGGAAGTAGTTTTCTCTCCATCACTCAGGATATAATTCTACTCTTTTTTCTGTAATATTTGAGTGACTCTTGGATATAAATGAAATATTCAAGAATGGTGTGTTTGTGTAAATTTTATGAGGAAAGTTCATGTCATGCTTAATCTGTTCATCATGAAACTGCTTTAACATACTATTAAACTAGTTCCTGTGATTTATCTTTGTATAAGAAATGGTAGGAACTATCTGAAACTTGCTTTCTTTTTATTTGGAAATTCTAGTGATTAAATCAGAAACAATTACTGTACAACTCTTACTCAGGGAAGTTTTCTTCTAAGGTTTAGAAGAAAGATCCATAACAGGAGTCTGGTCCTTCTAAGACTAATCACTTCAAATTGATTCTGGATTTTTAGACTTGAATCTTATGGGCATTACACTATTACAAATGTTTACATAAATCAAGACAGAAGTATCAGCATTGAGCACTCCTTATCAGTGCAGTCTTTGAAACACCTAAGGTACCTCAAAGTCTTTTAATTTTAATTTTATGTTCTTTCAAATAAGGTATAAATAGAACAGCGCTTCGAGAAATAAAACTGCTGCAGGAGCTTAGCCATCCAAATATTATTGGAGTAAGTATGAAGTATTATATAATAAACTTCGTTATTTTGTTACCTTGATGTCAATATAATTGGCTAGAAATTGTTATTTCTATGTGAGAATCCCCAGAAAAATCAATCTTCTAAAGTTGATAGGGGAAAAAATGATTTGGAAAAGGCGTTTGGCATGGTTCAATTCAAATAAATCTTGATTATGTTAATGGGGGAAGAAACCATATATATTGCAATAAAAGAATGTAATTTAGTGCTTAGTTATTTCATCTTTAGGTCAACAGAAATCACTCCTATGACCCAAGGTTTTATTGCCTAACATTATCTCACCACTATGGTTCTGTTATACAATTTGTTAAAGTTTGCAATTTAACCAGGTTAAAGAAAAGCAGCTCATCTTTGCTGCTGTAATATATAAACTAGGCTTCTTACACTGGTTTATTTCTCCTAACTTTTTTGGCTTGAGATGGAATTTGTGGAGTTTTTCATCTTATTGTTTTTGCTATGTGTGATTTAGAAAATTATAACATATTCAAAATGCTAAAGATAAGAGCAAACAGCTGCAAAGATGGAGCAGAAACATTGTTTTATTTATTGAAGTATAATGCTAGCACATAATTTAACATCCCTTTCTATAGTCTGTTATATTTAAACTGAGCCACATACCAAGAAGTCAAAAATGCTGTTTCTGGTTTGTGTATTTTTATTTCAATTTATCCTGCCTTTCAGAATATACATAGTAACAAGATGAATTATAGAAAACATTAACAAGAATTAATAAAATCATAGTATATATTTCTAAAACAATGAGATAATTCTCTTTAAGAATCAAACACCCTTTCAGATTAATATTCTACTGTTAATATTCCCTACATATGGCAGAGCCATCACAATACTTGATATCTTTGTCAGATGGTAGGGAAAAGATGTTAGTTTCCTCACTTTAAAAATTTTCCAACTTAGCAGTCCTGGACAGCAGGTAGCTGGATCCAGTATTACTTTGGGACACTGTAGAAAGGTAAAGAGTAGCTAGAGCAATCATATGATAGCTTGGCATGCATCCCAGCTAGCTAACACTGCTTGTAAATTGACCAAGCAGGAAGACACCCCAGATTATTTTTCTCATAATTTAGAATAGGATAGAATTAGAATATAATTCTTTATTGGCCAAGTATGATTGGACACACAAGGAATTTGTCTTGGTGCAAATACTCTCGGTATACATAAAACAAAAGATACTAATTTAATTTCTTTAAACCTGGATCCATTTCCATTTATGAAACTTTAAACCTGGATCCATTTCCATTTATAAAACAAGAACAAACATCTAAATGTTTTTTTCTTCCAGCTTCTTGATGCATTTGGACACAAATCAAACATCAGTCTAGTGTTTGATTTTATGGAAACTGATCTAGAGGTAAGACTGCTTAAACCAATCATTTTCTACTAGTTTAACTGTTCCTGTAGAGACCTGTTCACTCTTTATACATAATCAATAATCATAATCACTGTGCGTAATAAAAGCTCATGGAAAGAAGTCACAAAGTTGCAGGAAGAACTCGGAAAAAGAATAGAAAAGTAGAATGTGTCACTTTATTAACTAAACCTAATTAATTGTTTTAATGTCTGGAAATATCTCTCGTAAGATTTCTCAGGTATCATTTATTACTTCCTTCAACTTTAACTTGTCCTTGAACCCTTTTGAGGTATCTTATTGCTTTTAAGCCTAAGAATGTTTAACTGAAATAATTAACATTCTGTCCCTAATTCGATTTTCTTCTGTTAGAGGAATAGAGGTTTTCATCCTCTAAATCAGATAGGAAACATGATACTGTACATGGCATTATTCTGAAGACAAGTAAAATAATTGAGTCATACTGCAAAACAACCTATTTGATATAGTCCAAAAAGTAACAAATCCATGAAACAGGACTGAAAGTGATAGTGTTTTTATGAAAGAGAGTAAATTGCTTAAGCAGTTATTCATTTAAATTAAACCTAAAACATTCTACTGAAGTGTCTGATAACTTTTTGTTAAATAGAAACTGTGAGTCAGCTTGATCATGCTTGTCAGAGAGCCACAGAAATCAGAGAGACTAACTTAAGACAAACTGATCTCCTGTGATTTAATAATTCTGAACTTTGTGGCTCGGTTCATACCATTTACTAAACCAAAACCAAGCAAGTCACATGATGGTTTAATGTAAAGTGTGACTCCAACCATTGGAGTTTGTAAACTACAGATTATATCTTAGTATCTTGTGGGAGCACCATAGAGATTTCACAAAAACATATAATCTTTAGTGGAAGGTAGCCTTGTCTCTCAGTAAAGCTGCATTACTAATATCATTGAAGAATACACCTTCTGTAAGTCTGTGATGAAAAGTGTTCATTATTCTGGAAACCTCCATGTTTGCTGTTTCTCACTACTTATTCCCATGAAGCTTTGTACCATCTGAATTGGTCTGTTCTGTATTTGAATGTAGACATGTGTGTAAACTTAGTTATTAAATGATTGCAATTTATAAAAATGTATTGCTTTACAGGTTATAATAAAGGACACTAGTCTTGTTTTAACACCTTCTCATATCAAAGCATATATGCTGATGACACTTCAGGGATTAGAGTATTTACATGAACACTGGATACTTCATAGGGTAAGTAAACCTAGAGAGCGGTCAACAGCGGTCTTCTTAAACAGGAGTTGCGGGACTAGAAAGATGGAGACCTTTGTAAATTCCTTGTCTTGGCCTTAATGAAATCTAAAGTGTTAATATCTAAATAAAATTCCATTTATTTGTCTAAATAGCTTGCAGTCATGTTGCTATTTTTGTCCTAATAGGGAAATGTAGAAATGGTGATCTTTCTGAAAGATACCTCTCTCAAAGCCAATACTTTCAAATAATATATCATTTGGATTTATGGTATCTTTTAGTAACTTGCTCAGAATGCATTCAATGGTGGAAAAACATATTGTGTTGCCAAGATAAAGAGACATACAGACTGATCATTAGGGTAAAAATATTTGTCTTAACTTTTTATTTGTTTCTAATACATTATGAACCTTCATGTATCCTCAGAGACAGAAATAACCTTAAAAGTTTAAGTAGGTATTATTGTTTCTGTTTTGATTGTTCAATCATATATGTGTGTAACTGTAAACATCTGCTTCCTGGAAACCTATTTCTCATTAAGTACATGCTTTGATATCTTAATTTATTCCTTTTATAAGTGTAAAAGTTACTCTTTTTCTAAACATAAAGTATTTTCATTTGACTATGACATACTCCTATCATTTTGCTCAATCTCTCTTTTCAAGGATCTTAAGCCAAATAATTTGTTGCTGGATGAAAATGGAGTTTTAAAACTAGCTGATTTTGGTTTGGCAAAATCTTTTGGAAGTCCAAACAGAGTTTATACACATCAGGTAGTCACAAGGTAAGAAAGAAATGTTCAATGCATACAAATAAGCTATTCTTATAATCACTTTGTTTGCTTGTCTAGTCATACCTTAGGAAAGGACGGACTGTATCATAGTTATTGAGGGGGGATTCTTTTGCTAAGGAAAAGCTGCTATATAAGTAAAGCATTTCGGAAGAACAGACCTAAAGATGTTTCTGGTACTTATTTAGTGTAATAATAAAGTAAAAACACTAAATTCCACATTAGCTGAATATAAATACAGTAAATTACATAATGGTACATTAAAAACAGAGCTTAATTTATGATGATAGTATAACATTAAATATATTTTCAGATCCTGGGATAGATTAATATTTTAATCATTATTTCCTCTCCTTCTCATCATATATAATGATTCCGAACTGTGGAAGGTTCTTTTTATAAAATTAAAAAATGTTTAAAAGTCAATTTTCATAAGTTTGCTATTATTGTTTGTTCAATTCAGTTCTTTCGCTGAATGGTTTAAATGGGATGTAATTACTTTTTCACATGACTATACTTGGTAGGAATGGACAATAATATGTTGGTTTGCAAGATAGTCTCTGCAATAAAAATCCTGGCTTGAAGAAAATAATGTGAGCATGCTAGGAATAAGCCTTGTATTTGATTGTGCTTGGGACATACTGGGTAAAATGCACCAAAGATGACTTCTCCCTACATTTAGAAACTACACTATGTGGCATGGGTACAACAGTGGCTGATAACTAGATTACACCATCTCTGTCTTACAAATAATGCTATGTAAAAGTCTTCAACGACCAAACCCATGTTGGGTGGTGATGGTGGTAGTCAATATTTATAAGCCCCTCTGATTATGCCCATGGAATATGGAAGTTTGTGTCTTGAAATGTAAGAAGAATAAATAATACAAAGCATGCATTAATAACTGAAAGAAAGAATAGGTAATTGTCTGTCAGTAAAAGGAAGTGAAAGATGGTGGATTTAATAAAGGTTGGTCAAACTTGGAGAATGCAGTTAATAATTACATGTAGGAAAATAGTATGGCTTTAATTATGAATGAAAGACTAAAATATATCTCTAAAAGTATGAATTGGAGTAACCTAATATGTTGTGTATATGAAAATAGGAAACCATAGATTGTTGTTACATTATTACAGTGACATATTCCACTGAACAATGATAAAAAATGAATTTTGGATAAAATCATACATTTTAAATGAATACAAATGAGGAAGAAATTATTTTGTTAAATTATAAAGAACAAATGGGAGGATCACAATAGAAAAGCATGGAAAAAACTATTGGTCTATGAGGTGACCTAAAAATGAATTAGAAGAGCAGATGGTGAGAATTAGTTAGAATACAGTCTGTCTGTTTTGAATATGTGGTTAAGCATAAATGCATTCATATATACTTGGCAAAGAAAGTACAAATAAAAAATATGATTAATGTGATTGTATTGAAGGATTGAAAGAAATAATGAAGAATACAAAGGTGGTGAGTGATTTTGAGTGTGGGAGAGATCATTTCTGGATCTTGGGGCGGGGAAATGGACATGAAAGGAAATGGAAGAAATATAAGTAGAAAGTTGTTTAAAAGGAAATATACCTACTCTGCTATGTGAAAATGAGTTTATTATGCACCTTTTCCATACAACTATTACTTATCAATAACTTTAATTCTTCCAAGAACTTTCAGTGCATGTGATACTTTAGAATTGGCCCTATTGTTAATATCAGTAATTACAATTGGAACTCATTCAGCCTAATGGTGAATTTAAGCTGAATTTAAACCATCAGGTTCTTTAGAAACTTTGCTTTTGAAGATTTGGTATTAATTATATTGTTCATTACTATTTCTGCAACTTTTAAAAATATTTTTTCCAGTTAATTTTAAGGTACTAATTTGTAGGAAAGGTCTATACTTAAATATTTACATCCTCAAACACAAAGTGAACAAGTTTGTAGTTTCTCTCTCTCTCTCTCTCTCTCTCTCTCTCTCCCTCTCTCCACATAGCTTGATTGTGAAAAGGATATAAAATATCTTATACCATGGTAAGCTTATAAAGATGTACTAGAATGTATTAATCATATATGATTCTTTTAGTTGACTATCCACCCATATTTTATTGTTTATATTTGATTTCTTATCTGCATTTCTTACTTATATTGTTTTAAACTTGTACTTTGAAAAATTTTTTGACAAATTTCAGTGAAGAAAGACAATGTAATCTGTTATCTGTTTTACAGGTGGTATCGAGCACCCGAACTATTGTTTGGAGCGAGAATGTATGGTGTGGGTGTGGATATGTGGGCAGTAGGCTGCATCTTGGCTGAATTGCTTCTAAGGGTAAGTATGAGACAGGGCTTGACTGAAAGTTATTGACAGATTAAATTTCACTTTTTGCGTCATCATTCAGTCTGTCTCTGTTAAGAGAGAACTAGGGAGAGCCTTGATGGAGAGATTTTCTTAGGTTCCAGTTCTGCCCGACTCAGGTTTTTTTTTTATCTAACCATTGTCTTTGTAGAGGCTGTTCCTGAAGGTTATTCCTTCTGCCATAACAAATACAAGTATCTTATTTATTTAGCTATATTTACCCCAACCTAACTGACTGTGTAGAGTACTAAGCAGAGCGTCCTCATTATTAAAACAAAAAATCAGTTGTCATACTCATCATAGCGGGGGAAAAACAAAACAAAACCAAAGCCAGATGAACCCCACAAATTATTCCAGGGTCCATCAGCCCAATGATGGGATTCAATTTTTTTTACTACCAGTTCTGTGGGCGTGGCTTGGTGGGCGTGGCAGGGGAAGGATAGTGCAAAATCTCCAGTCAGAGGTGGTATTTGCCGGTTCTCCAAACTACTCAAAATTTCCGCTACTGGTTCTCCAGAACTGGTCAGAACCTGCTGAATTCCACCTCTGCATCAGCCCATTAAAATAGAACGTAAGAGTCTGTCACACTTTGGGGGAGGTGGAGAGGAGGAAAAGCACTGTGCAACCATCTTTGCTATCTCCATAAAACCTAATAATTTTCTTCTGGTAAGGGTTGCTTTCCTTGAACTAATAATGGATGGAGTCTGAGCCACATTGGAGTGGGATACTCTGTCTTTCCTTTTGCCAATCTCTTTCTCGTGTCCCTCGTCATGAGGCAGTGAACAGATTGTTTGGAGAGGCCTTTTCTCCATTCTTCCATCACTTCAGTCATTCCAGGGTTTCTCCCCATCCTCCTCCCCTCCCCATCTGTATGAAATTAAATTATTCCCCAATCATTATTAAAAAAAGAGTCTCGCAATGTAGATAATTTATTGCCATGGCTTGAATTTATTGCTCAGAAACCCTGAGACTTGTAAAGCCAAATCATTAAACATTTTGAATCCCAGTGTGTTCATCTTACTATAGGTTCCATTTTTGCCAGGAGATTCTGATCTGGATCAGCTCACCAAGATTTTTGAAACCCTTGGTACGCCAACAGAGGAGCAATGGCCTGTAAGTTGATTGGCTGAAGTTGTATTTATAGATGGGGACTCTCATTCCATCATAACTAATCTTTTCTTACATTTATTTCCTTTTCTTCCAACAGGGTATGACAAATCTTCCAGATTATGTTACTTTTAAAAGTTTCCCTGGAATGCAGTTTCAGCACATCTTCAGTGCTGCTGGTGACGATTTGCTGGAATTACTGCAAGGCTTATTTTACTTTGATCCTTGTACCAGGATCACAGCTAGTCAGGTAGTTAACTTACCCTAATAAATTACTGCTAGTGTGCTCAAAAAAAATTTATTGGCAAAACTTGCGCTATTTTGATGTAAAAAAACAACAGCCTACATCTTCCATTACTATTGCTCTTTTCAGGCCATCTTCTTGGCAATGAACTTGTTTCTAATGTTAACAGTGAGTTAATCACCTTTCAGTTTGCCTTCTGACAGCCAGTTCTCAAGATAAAGGCAAAATTAGCAAAAGGCTAATCTGAATCAGGCTGGTGGCTGAATTGCAAGGCAGGACTTCTTCAGCCAAAATCTAGGGCCACCAACTCAAGCAATCAGTCAGGTAAAGCAGCTTAAGCAATGGAGAAGAGAGAGAAGGGAGCGAGGTTTGTGTCTTGCTAATGGAAAGGAGAAGCATGCCTGACCTCTCAGCACTTAGTGGCAAAGCAATTTCTCCCTTGGCTCAGACTGCAAAAAAGAATGGGCACTGAACCAATAACTTCCCTTTCTTTGAGGCCCCACAAGTAGCTACAGTGCTTGCAACAGAATTTATTATAAGATGCAAGTACCACTAAATTTAGAGACATTTATTCCCATATTGTATTTGTAATTGAAAGCATGTGTTTTAAAATCTTGGTTTGGTGTGTTTTTTAATCAACACTAGCAAAATATTTCAGACCTTTTTCCTAAACCCTTTCTTTAGAATTCCATATGAACAAATGGTTCCAGATAGAGCTGCCTTTATTTTTATTTTTTTTAAGACTGGGAACATCTAGTTATGTGCTGCAGCTGTTCTTGTGGTCTTCTTTTTTTTTCCTCGGGTCACAATAAAAGTTTTTCCTGGCATACTTAGAAATATATTTCATTCCAATAGGTCCCACTAGAAAATATGAGGTGTCTAGTTGCAACAAACATGTCTATTAATTGTGTATAGACTATTCTTTTATGATTGTTATTGTATTGATCTTATACAAAATATTTTGTTGTATAAAGATCTTGCTGTTTTTGTGAGAATGATAAAAACAGTGCTATGGCACTACATAACGAACTCTGCCTTTTTTGGGCATGCATGCTATATAAACACCCTTAGAAAAGGGACCTGCACTTTAACACTACTTTATTAGTACCTGCAAACAACACTGAGCGTGCAAGCCTTCTCTACAGGTAGTTCTTGACTAACAACCATTCATTTAGTGACTGAGCAGTTACAATGGCACTAAAAAAAAGTGACTTGACAGTTTTTCACACAACAGCATCCCCATGATCAAAATTCAGATGCTTTGACAACTGACTCATATTTATGACAGTTGCAGTGTCCCTGGGTCATGTGATCATCTTTTGTGGCCTTCTGACCAGCAAAATCAATGGGGAAGCCAGATTTACTTAACTATGTTACTCACTTAACAACTGTGGTAAGAAAGGTCACAAAATGAGGCAAAACTCACTTAATTGGCTTGCTTAGCAACATAAATTTTGGGCTCAGGTGTGGTTGTAAGTAGAAGAGTACTTGTACCTTATTCAAAGGTACTTCATACATCCTTGCAGCCATTCAGCATCCTATACCCCCTTAGCTTTTTCAGCCCTCTTTGGATGTTTTTGTTTGGGGGTAAAGGAATACAATTATATGCAAATCTTTTCACTTCCACGTTCTTTCTTGTTTAAGAGCTGTTGGTTGTATAAAGAATAGCACACAAAGGACCTTCTGATTTATTTAATAGCATATATACAGGGTTTCCTTGAGCAGGGGGTATCTATATCTCCTATGAGCCTATATCTATATGACACTCTGGATGGATGGATGGATGGATGGATGGATGGATGGATAGATAGATAGATAGATAGATAGATAGATAGATAGATAGATAGATAGATAGAGTCTCGCGAGCAGGGAGTTGGATCAGAAGACCTCGAAGTTCACAACTAAGTTAACCTAATTTATAATGAATTAGCTTGCCTGCCTATTTCTAGTTTCCTGAGAATGATCAGGCTTTGATATGCTCTGCCTGTTGAGACCTATATTTTATCAAAATGAAAGTATCAACACAATATTAACAAGTTAACTGGAGATTAAAGAACTGATATCCAGTGTATCTGGAGGGCGTAAAGTTACTGGAAGCTAAGTTAGTATGATAAATCTATGTTCCTAGCTGGTCCCAAACAAGTCCAGATTTTCCAAGTCTGATTGCAGCACATGTTGGCAACATGTTCCGTATTAATTTACTAATACTAAAATTGGACATCTTATTGCCTTCTTTTTACCTTTACAGTGATACCATTTTCAAATCTTGTACCATTTCTCATTCTAAATGGAATATATAGAACTATGGCAATATTCTCTCTTATTACCATTATATTTCTTTCCAATTCATGCAAAAAGTTTTAATTAAACAAACATACATACAGCTTGTACAGAGTTGTACAAGCTGTAACAGAGTTAAATACAGCTTGTGTAGAGAAACCTATTGCTTGAAAGATGCAGCTTATTCTGTTCTTTTGCCTTTCAGGCACTGAAACATGAGTATTTTAGTAATCGACCAGCACCAACACCTGGAAGTCAATTGCCAAGGCCCAACTGCCCTGCAGAAGCTTTGAAAGAGCAACAAAATCCTGTTCCTAATTTAAAAAGGAAAAGGATGGATGGAAAAGATCAAGGTAAAATTATGATCAGTTGTTTCTTAGATTTTGTGTTAATCTAATTTATATCCTGCTTTTTCTCCCAGAAATTTAGGGTTTTTATATGGAGATTTTATTTAATTTTATTTCTATAACAGCCCTGTAGGTTGGACTAAAAGAGCTGACTGGCCCAAAGTCAGGCACTAGGTCTCCATGTCTGAACTTAAACCTGTCGGATACCATAACTGCCATGTCCATGGGCACCCACAAAGAGGATTTATGAAAGTCATAATTATAACTGCAACCATATGGTCAAAGCCATCTATTTTTATGTATGCTCCCTATTCTATAAATAGGGACAGAGCTTTGATCACACAATCATCTTTACTTTTCATGAACACAAAAGCATATTTTGTCCAAAGTAAGAAAGCAGGAAAGTGGGTTTGCCATTCCTGGTTTAACAGTTCAATTAGTGCTGCCATTATTTTAAATGTTTTTATTTAAACATTTCTAGACTACCTTTTAGAAGAAAAACCCTCTAAATGACTTACAGTTTGATTTGTATGAAATTATCTAAGAAAAATTTAGCCATGCTCTGCTTGAATGAGATGCAGTTTTGATGAGTTACATTTCACAAATGGGAAACATCCAGAGGTTACAGTCCTAAAACTAGAAAATATTTACTGGAATTGTTCAAACAACAATGACTTTTATCGCTTGGAAACTTCTATTAGACTTCATGAGGATACCACTATAAAGCAAGAGAGTATTTGCATTTATTGAATAGTCTTTTTTATTTAAAGATCAGAAGAGAAATTCCTCATCCCCACAGTTGGGATATATAGGAATAGATAGTAAAACCTCTACTTTATATATTCCCAACAATACATAAATATAATAAAATTTTGAGAAGGATCAGGACATAGTAATTTGCTAAACTGATATGCAAAAATATGAGATGTGTATTTTTTCCACCTAGGGTTACCCAAAAAACTGGTTTTTTGACAACTGTGGAAATGAGAATCTTTAACATTGCTGCTGCTATATCTGAAAAGACCAAATGTGAGAACTGGGAGATGTCAATTAAAAATAGGAGAAAGCTATGTTTGTAAATGTATGTAATATGTATGTAGTATTTCAGTACATAATAACCATGTATTTTATTACCACTTTTTTAAAAAAAATAAAAATACAAAAAAATGATGTGAGTAAAAATGCTTTAAGTGTAAATACATGAACAATCAGCTGAATGAACTGGAAAATTATAAATTGGAAATGCAAAGATTAGAAATTAAACTCTTTTTTTCCAAATAATCCTGTTAGGCAGAGACAAGGCCAAAATATTTTGTTCTGACAATATGCTTCAGTATATATAGGATAAAGCTGCTTTCTCCTTGAAAAATCAGACTACCAAGCAGAAACTCTTGAAGACATGATGTTGAATTAAAAAAATGTAGAATTTTAAAAAATGGATTGACATAAAGACATAACAATGAAGAACATGAAGTAAATCAAAGAGATTACTGGAATGTCCCTGGGAAAAAACCTGAGGACTTATTTATTTCATAACTTTATGCTTCCCATTCAAGACAAAGAACAAAAACTCTTATACTTAGAATAGGTGCCTGTATCATTTTGGGTCACTGGGTCTTCAAAGCATTCTTAAAGGTCAGCAGATTCAGGAATTTGCAAAGGGGGGAGGAAAAGAGGTTATTCCAGGGGTCAGATTTGGTGGTGGGGGAAGCATGGTAACTGTACATAGATGGTTCCACAAACATCCAGAAGTAGTGATGTTACATGAGGATACTTAGGTGGCCTAATTGCAGCTTGCAAGGGCTGTCCCAGGTAGAGTACAATGCAGTAGTGTAGGTGAGAAATAAGACATGAGTGACTGAAAAGCAATCCCAAATTCAGGAATGTGAAAAGTTGGGATATAACCTCTTATCACCTTTTGCAAACTTCTGACAAGCAACATCAATGGGGAAGCCAGACTCTCTTAATGTGATACTAACTTAACAACTGCAATGCATTTCTTAACAACTGTGGCAAGGTAGGTCATAAAATGGGTCAAAGCTCAATTGTCTTGCTTAGCAACAGAAATTTGGGACTCAATTGTGGTTATAAGTCAAGGACTATCTGTATTACTCCTGAATATCCCTGCATTTACTTATAACCCATTCTAATATGAAATTCTAATATGAGCTGAACATTAGTTTTTCCTCCAAGAGGAGCTTTCAAACACTTCTGCTACATTCCTTAGGTCTATAATATGCTTTTATAGTTACTCTTTAGAGGAGTGTTTTTCAAAATTGGCAACAGGGCTCATTGGAAATTCTGGGATAATAGATGGCCCTCCAGAGCTCAGTTTTTGCTGGCAGAGGGTTGCAGGAGGAACTCAAGTACATTTTCACTGGCAGAACGTTCGGGCCACCACAGGTGCCCCCAACACAAGTAACATCAAAATGGCCATGCCCATCCAGATCAAACACAACCCTGATGCGGCCCTCAATGAAATCAAGTTTTGACTGTTAAGACTGTTGACCTGTTTTAGAGTCTAGTCAAAAGATTCTGAAAACTGCTGAGATCCATAAGAATGTCAGTTCTTATATACTCAGTGCCTCGTAATGCTGAGAATTCCCTTTGTATCTTTATAATTCACATAACTGTCATTTGTATAAAACGAGGCTGACATTATCACATCCATCTTGAGAGAGGGAGGGAGGGAGGGAAGGAGAGGGAAAAGAAGGAAAATTGATATAAGCAAGACTGCATTGTAGCCGAGTCTCAATGCATTTCGCGGAGCTACCTCTTGGTCAACGGGTTGAAAAAAAATGACATGTTTATTACATCGTAAATACAAGTCTGAGTAGCATACACAATACATGAAAAAAATAAACAATTATAAAACGAATGTACAAAGCAACTGCAAAGGTACAGGCTCTATCAAAAGATACTGTAGCATCTACAATGCTCGAACAATTGAGAATCTTTCTTTGCCAAAATAATAATTTTAAAAATGGAGCGCGAGAAGCAAGCTCCAGCCTCATCCAGCAGAAAGGCGCTTTCAGACGCAAAATAAAATGCAAGGGGTGAAGCGAGCCGCCTTACTAGTGGAGCCCACGAGGCATTTGCTCCCTGAAAACGACAGCTGCTACCCTCGCCACCCCGGGAGTAGCCCCTCCGCGCAGCGTTAACCGCGGCAGACGCTTCCCTTCCTCCTGGTAAACAAGCGCGGCCGTCCGTCTCCAACTCCTCCCTCTCCCCACTTCTCCCTCGGTAAGCCCAAGCCGCCTGGCTTCGCGCCTGCGCTTCACCCCCGAGCCCCACCAGAGTCCCTGGGCGTGTGAACGCGGACAGGTGGCCTGCTGCTGGGTTTACCCGATCCTCTCCCCTCTCCCTCTCTTCTAACGCGGCCCCCGCACCGGAAAGCCATCTAGCTCCTTAGAGGCAAACTGACGACAGCGGAAGCCTAATCCCACTGTTTGGGCCGGGCTGGAGCTAGCTGCCTCTCCGCCCTGAGGGTTGTACCCGAGAGGTGGGTCAGTCTTGCAGCAGGCTGCGCTCGGCATTCTCTGAGCCGGAGGGGACCCCGCAGCTACCAGTCGGGAGAGGCCGCCAGGCTCCTGAAGAGTGCGGGCAGGTGCGAAGAGAGCGTTCTACGGCGGCGACCATGTCTGCCCGCTGCTGCGCCGGCCAGGTAAGGCGCGCGCGAACGCAGCCCCCTGGGTTTCTGTCCCGGGTGAGGTAGCCTTGCTAAACAGCTCCACCCTGGCTTCGTGGCAGGCAGTCTCCTCAGGGGCTGCGCCAGCGCTTCTTTTCGCCGGACAATGCCGTTCACCCCGTGCTTTCGCGGTGGGCAGGAGATGCGCTGGCGGGTGCGCTTCTCCGGCGGAAGGCTGGCTCCTAACCAGATTTTCCAGCCATTTAGGAGATCCTGGCCTGGGGTTGAACTAGGATCTAATTGCGCGTTTCAGCTGATTTCCCAGCTGCAACTTGCTTTCCCTGGTGGTTGAATGGGCGTCGGGGATCGCTCGCCGTTTTCACAGCCTTGCTTTTAGTTGTTAAACCGGAAAACAGGCCAAGCTGTGCAGACTCGGATTCAGATATTGCTTTGCTTTTCTCTGGGTCAATTTGCTATATCGTTTGCAAAATATATGTCCTGCTTTGTTATCGGTGGGGCTGCCAAAGGAATTTAGCAAAACAAGAAGACTCACTAAAGACAACCTGCTAGTATCTGTGTTTTGATAAAACAACAGTTATTGTGCTATTTAGAATCACATACACAGTTGTCATCATGCATCCCAATTTAAGTTGCTTGGAATTTGTCTACATTCAGTAGTATGCATTTTTGTAACCTTTATCTGTATTATATTTGCTTATCTTAAGAAAATTAAATTTTCTGCCGTGAGGTGGAGTTTACAATGTTCTGCTGAACTATGATTTACTGAATAAAGCATAGTTGCTTTAAATAAAGCATGACTAACATTATTAGTGCAACATGTGAATTAGGTTACTATAATAGCTTGATGAAGGAAATAATGTATAAATGTGTTGCCTCCAAACTTTCTTTTGTACTGTTAAAAATTGGTACCCTTTTCCAAACAAGAATTGAACAACAAAACCAAAAATTTTCAGTCAGGAACAGCATATCTCTAGCAAAAAAGGATGCACCTATTTGGTATTTTTGTATTTCCTATGCTGTAATTAACATGGAGTTGTCCTGGAGATGGAGGAAGTTGATCCGTTCCCTCTACAGTTTTACATTCTGCCTGCAGAATAAGAAAGAATCGGGATTCTAAATTCTAGATCCAATTCTTCCTATTTTCATAAGTCATAACATAAAGGAGTGTTTATGTTCTCTAACTGTGCATGTGAAATATGTTAATATATGAAAATGGTTGGAATTTGATAGCATCTGAACTCTCAACTGGTGACCACATATGGTAACATCTTGTATAGAATTCAATGTCCAGTTGACAATCTTGCCATGTACATTTTTTACGGTATTTCATATCCCGTAAGGGTCTACTGAAGTCTTAACCCAATTAACAGATTTTTTTTGGTAGTACAGTCATTTTATTAAAGATTATAATTACAACAGTAAAAACTAATAACTTTAAAAATAGAATTAAAGGTGAATAAAAGGAAAAATAACAAAAAGGTAAGAATATAGTGAAGAAAAGGTGACATATAAAGAAGTTGTTTCTCACTTTCATCATAACCAATTTTACTAACATATCACATATCCTCTTAAAATACCACAAATGATGTCTTCTTCCTTTATCCCATCTTTTATCTATATGTCAGTCCATAAAGTATTGCCATTTCAGTCCTGGTGTCAGCAAAAGTCCATAAGAGTAATCAGAAATAATATTGCTGGGTTTTTTTTTTTCAGAAAAATAAATATTTTTTTAAAACTTCTTGTAGTTAAAACTTCATTTCACTGAAGATTGAAGGAACTCTCCTAGTTCTGTCAAACTTGTCCTAATGGCTGAAAAGCAGCAAACAAGCAATTAATAGTAAAAGTGATAGTGATCTTATAAAGTAATTAGAAAAGAAAGCATGCAAATTTAGCACCCTTTCAAAGGTGGATATTCCCACGTCTCCCAAAGTTCTAAGAAACCTGAGTCCACTGTTTTGCAATCTCATGAGGAGATTTGGTGCACTTGTGGGTGATCTCAAGTCTGTCCTTGTCTGAACAGGAATTACGAAAAGCCGGTCCACTTGCTGGCTCTTCATTCTGCTGTGGTTGTCAGTTCTGTATTTCAGATCCATCTTTGGTCTGTCATTTCTTCCCCTGGAAGTCCCCCAATCAACAAATTTTCTTGCATTCTACAGAAATACTTTTTGGATATCTTTAAAACCATTTACGTTAGAATGAAAAGCTAACAAAAAGCAGGAACTGTCTAAGATTAGAGTAACTACATGTTTTGTAAGATAAAACTTTTGATCAAACTTCTGTCATGACAGCCATTTTTTGTTAGTGCTCAGGAAAGATAGGCAAGCATCCCTCTTGGTGACTTCATGGAGTTTTTATGGCACATAGCGGTAGTATCAAATGGTTGCAATCTAGCCTATAGAGCAGGGGTGTCAAACTTGTGTTGTCACGGCATCATCGCATGACGTATCGCGACTTTCCCCCTTCACTAAACCAGGCATGGGCGTGGCTAGCGTGTGATGCATTTGGCCTGCGGGCCGTGAGTTTGACACCCCTGCTATAGAGCACGGGTGTCAAACTCGCAACGTCACATTGCCATCACATGACGTATTGTGACTTTTTTTCCCTTCACAGAACTAGGATGAGAGTGGCTTGCATGTGACATATTCAGTCCGTGGGTTGCCAGTTTGACACCCTTGCTATAGAGCCATGATTTCCTTGTGGTCTCCCACTCAAGCACCATCCAGGTTCAACTCTTTCTTTTCATTTTGAATCAGTTATTTCATCCTGGTTGAATTCTGAGCCGTATTTAGTGAAGCTGACAACTGTTTTGTGACTATCATACTGCCACTTGCTGACAAAAATAACAAATACGTTATTTTTCTACCATACGATGATAGAGAACAATTTAAAGCTAGCTCATCTTTTTGGCTACACACATTGAGCTAAGCTGGAGTTGTTTACTAAACATTCAGGAATAAGCCAGTATTGGATTCAACCATTGTGCTAGACCAACCAGACAAGCCATAATGTGGCTTTAGGTGTTATTTTCAATGACAAGAGATCACCTATTTGCCCTCCAGTTGGAGTGAACTGAATTCCTAGATTAAGAAAGAAATATTTTTTTTATCCTTTGAAAGAGAAATAACTGCCCTATTATTTGAACAGCAGTGATTTGTTTTTGCTTACATTTCACAGGAAACAGGAATTTACATGTGGCTTTTCTGTAGAACGTCTCAAGAGACTAGAAGTTGACCTCAGTCTTAAATAAAGCAGCTGCAGTGGAAAACGTATTTTTTTTTCAGGATTCATTCCATATAAATGTAATGTAGATACAAGATTGGCTGTGTGGTTATACTTTTATATATATTACATCTTGATTTAGATATTTTTTTAAAAGTAAACTATAAGCTAGTTAGTTTTGAGGTCCTATTTTAATTGGTATAAAATTTAAATTACCACTTTCTGATAAAATTAAGGACTTGCATTTTTAGTAGGAACTTACAGAGGAAAATTTCTGTGTTAGGAAATTTTATTATACATTTATATTACATGAAGAGAAAGAGTTCAGTTTCTTTTTTTAGTTCTGAACATGTGTACATGCCATATAATTTTTAAGAAATATTCTTAGCAACAGCAAATAAAATTTATTCTCTCCAATTTTTGTGGTTTTCTATGATGTTCTATAATTCTTAGCATTGTTTATACTGTTAAATTAATTACTGTATAGTTTTCTCCAATCTTGACCAAAACAAAAAATCTCCCCCAAGTTAAGCATTCCAAATGTACTGGCTCTCAAGTTTTAGAATTCCAGGACATCATGAGAATTGGCTACGTTGGAGAAATGCTAGGTTGAAGAAGAATGGTTTAAAGGCAGAATGCCAATCTGTAGTATTAAGAAGTAAGCCAACTAAAAGTTTGGACAGATGTTAGTACTCAAAATATGTAGTCATCCTATCTTAGTAAATTGTAGTTAAATGTTTTAGGGCTTGCTGCTGTTTGACAAGAAAATTGGTTTTGGATAGTATAGACTGGCTGTTGTTTAAAAGTTTGTATACAGTATATTGTTTTTCTTTCATTTGTTTAAATTGATTGTACAAATGAATAAATTGCCTAGCTTTGGGGCAACACCTAGCCAATTTTGGGTGGGTGACTTATGACTGGTCCTTGTAATTATAACCATAATAGCATCCTTATATTAGAATCATAGAATCATAAGCTTAGAGGTCTTTTAGTCCAGTCCCCTATCCAAGGCAGGAGACCTTATTGCATTCCAGACAAATGGCTGTCTAACCTTCTTTTTTTTAAGATGTCCAGCAATGGACACCCAGAACTCTAGGAGGCAAGCTGTTCCATTGATTTATTATTCTTACTATCAGGATTTTTTTTCTTTAATTCTAGATTAGATCACTCTTTAACAAGTTTCCGCATATCACTTCTTGCCCTGCCACCAGGTGCTTTGGAGAATAAGTTGACCCATCCTCCCAATGACAATCCCACAAATATTGGGAGATAGCTATGAAGTATTATCCCTTCTTGTGATCTTGAGGTTATCCCTCTGTAAATGCAGGACTGTACTGGCTTTTTAGGCAGCTGTAGCACACTGCAGACTCATATTTAAATGTTTTTCCACTAGAACATCTAGATCCTAGACATCTACTTTTGAACCAGGTACTGCCTATTCTATACCTAGATAGAATGGGAACTCATCAAATTGGCAGATGACATCAAATTTGGGGGAATTGCCAACACCTTGGAAGATATTCAAAATTCAGAAGGATCTTGACAGACATTGGGGCCTATTCAACAAGATACAATTCAGTGATGAGAAAAGCAGAGTCCTGTACTTAGGCAGAAATATACCTATTGCCTGATCACCCGTTGCGAACAAGAATCTCCTCCAAGTAGCCCTTTAGTCAAAAGTTTGTTGCAGCCTCAACTACTTAGCCAAGGGTGATGAAGGAGCAGGTGATGAAGGCTAGAAATTGTGATTTTACAGACTCTAGAGCTCCCCAGGCCTGCCTAGGACTCCAGGAAGT